TTGTAGTGCTCTTTATATATATATACTAGAGGCCTAGTGCACAAAAATTCGTGCACTCGGGGGCAGGGGTCCCTCATCCCTCTTGCAGTCCGGGACCCCTCGGGGGATGTCCACCTGCCAGTTTAGGCCCACTCCCCAGGGGGTCAGACCTAAGCTGGCAGTCAGATATCCTTCTGGGAGCCCTTGGGGGATGTCTGACTGTGGCTTAGGCTACGGAGGAAGCGGGAGAGGCTCCCGCCATCGCCACACCACTGTTCACAGACATCAGCCTGGCTTGTGGCTGAGCAGAGCTCCCCCTGTGGGAGTGCACTGACCACCAGGGGGCAACTCCTGAATTGAGAGTCTGCCCCCTGGTGGTCAGTGCATGTTATAGCCACCGGTCGTTCTGCTGTTAGGGTCAATTTGCATATTACCCTTTTATTATATAGGATTATTCTTCTGTCACTAAATGCAAATGATTTCCCAGTTTATCATTTGTTTTTGCATTTGGTATATGGTACTTGTACCACACAAGTTTAGTGAGATCTCTCAATCTTTTTCTTTATGGCTTCTTAGGTGTCCCAACCCTAAGATTATAAAAAATATTCTCCTTCATTGCTTCTGTTATATTTATAGTTTTTTTTATGATTAGATTTTTAAATTCATCTCTAATTTTCCTATGGTATGAGAAATGAATCTCAATTTTTTCTAAATGTAGAGCCAACTGTGCCATTATTCTTTCCCCTACTCATTTCATGTGATACCATTATCATAGTCTGGATCAGTGATTCTCAACCTGTGGGTCGCGACCCCTTTGGCAGTCGAACGACCCTTTCACAGGGGTCGCCTAAGACCATCCTGCATATCAGATATTTACATTATGCTTCATAACAGTAGCAACATTACAGTTATGAAGTAGCAACGAAAATAATTTTATGGTTGAGTCACAACGTGAGGAACTGTATTTAAAGGGGCAGAAGGTTGAGAACCACTGGTCTGGATCCTCATATATGTACATGGGTCTATTTTTTTATTATTATTATTATTATGAAATTTCTTTTACTTAAATATATATGGTGAGGCTTACTGGGAATCTAAAAAGACCTTAACAGTGGAAAGAGAGAATGCTTGAAAAGATTAGGTTTAAGTGTAGATTTTAATTCAAATGCAATTTCTATGGGACAATTTTCAATCTTGCTTTTTCTTCTGCTGATAACTTTTCCTGTGCCAGTGTTTTAACTGCTCTTGCTTTAAAGTATATTTTTCCCCTGGCCAGTGTGACTCAGTTGGTTGGAGCGTCATCCCACACACCAATAGAAGGCAGGTTCAAGTTTCTGTTAGGGCACATATCCAGGTTGTGTGTTCGATTCCAGTTTAGGGAGCTGGCGGGAGGCAGCCAATTGATGTTTCTCTCTTCCCCTTCCTCTCTCTCAAATACACACACACACACATAATTTTTTTAAAGATAGTCTTGTAAATTGTACTTTTACTCTTCCATGGAATCAATTTATAAGTTTTATTTTATTGGAGTTTTGTTAAATTAAGTTAGTGAGAACTGATACCATTCTGTTGTTGATCCTGTTCATCCAGAAACATGGTCTATCTGAACATTACTGTGGGGCTTCTTTATATTTTTACTAGAGGCCCGGTGCATGATTTCGTGCATGGGTGGGGTCCGCCGGCCTGCCCCAGTTGGGGTCCATCAGGCTGGGCCAGTGGGGGGAAGGGGCGGTGGGCAGTTGGCCAGCTGGCCCTGCCCCTGATCAGGCGGTCAAAATTAGATTATTCTTCACTGCAAAGGAGACTAGAAAACAAAGGGGTTGTCTGGACACCATGCCCTTGTGAACAAACTAAGCTGGCCAGTACTACCCCTGAGCAGGGTGGGGGCTGATCAGGGGCCGGGCTGGCTGGGGGGAGGGCCAATCAGGGCTCAGATAAGGCTGGTTGGCTGCCTCAGTGCGCTTCATAGCCACTGGTTGTTCTGGTCGTTCCGCCATTCTGGTCTCTGGGCTCTTATATATATAAATTTTTAACACACTGTTGTTGGGTTTATTGTAGCTTTTTACAGCTATTTTAAGTCTGCTATTTTGAGAAGTGGAAATGATATGTCACTTAATTTATACTTGTTTGATTCTAGAGTAGTCAAACTTTCTAAAAGCATGTTTATATTCTGTGATATTTGATCATGTGTTTAATCCATTTTTCTGTTGGAGTCAATCTTTAAGAGCTTATATCATAAGGTTATTAATCCTTTGTCGTAGGTGCAGCAGATATTTTTTCAGTTGCCTTGTAATTTTATCAGTTTTTTTACTTTTGCAAGTTTGAAAGTTAAATCTATCAATTGTGATTTGTTTTTTACTGTTGCTGTTATGAAGTCCTCTAAAATTTTATACTGAATGATTCCATATTTAGGACAGATAAATATGCCATGTGGAAAAGTAAACATATTGGCCTGGTAATGAAGTCAGACTATTTGCTTTATAGATTTTAATATAGTGTTATTATAGTGTTAGTGATTATTTCATTATAAACAGAATATTATGTATATCAGATGTGATATATCAGAATGATTGAAATACTTGTTTATGATATTTCATTTTAATAATTTTTAATTTTTAGCCAGTGTAAGTAATTCTAGCAGCTTTAATTAAATTCTGTATGAAAATTGTCAGTTTGAGTGTTTAAAGTAGGTGGTATGTTCTGATATGAAATTTGCTATAGAGTTAAGATCAGAAGATATCTTTAATTGACTTGTGTGTCTTCACAAGGAGATTTATTCACATGAATTTGTCTTATTGCCTGTAAAATACTATCCACTTTTACATTTTCCCCTTATTTTCTCCCTCAAATCCTACAATAGTTATGTAAAATTGTATTGATGCAAATTTTTATTAACTGTTGTGTAAACAGTCTAAAATTCTCAATTCCTGAAGTTTATATATTTAGGTATATTAATTGAATTACCTTTTATTACCTTTTTCTTTTTTTTAATTCTCACCTGAGAATGTTTTGTTTTGTTTTGTTTTGTTTTTGTTTTATATTTCTTTATCGATTTCAGAGAGAAAGAGAGAAGGAGAGAGAGATAGGAACATCAATGATGAGAGAGAATCATTAATCGGCTGCCTCCTGCACACCTCCCACTGGGGATCGACCCCTGCAACCCAGGCATGTGCCCTTGGCTGGAATCGAACCTGGGACCCTTCAGTTGAAACACAGGCATGTGCCCTTGGCCAGAATCGCGCCTGGGACCCTTCAGTCCGTAGGCTGATGCTCTGTCCACTGAGCCAAGCCGGCTAGGGCGAGAATATGTTTTTTTAAAATATATTTTTCAAGAGAGAGGAAGGGCAAGAGGGAAACATCGATGTGAAAGAGAAACCTTGATCTGTTGCCTCCTGCATCTGTCCAAACCAAGGATCGAACCTGCAACCTGGGTATGTACCCTAACTGAGAATCAAACCCGCAACCTTTTGGTGTACAGGACAACTCTCCAGCCAACTGAGCCACCCAACCAGGACAAATTACCTTTTTAAAAAAATCTTAATAAATATGCTTCTATTTGTAAAATAAAAATTTTCAAGTACAGTGAGGCCTTGACTTACGAGTGTCCCGACTAGCGAGTTTTTTGAGATACCAGCTGTCCCTTGGCCAATTTTTTGCATTGAGTTGATAGAGTAATTTGAGTTAACAAGCTCCTTAATGAGCTCAGTCTCAGAATGAATTAAACTCATAAGTCAAGGCCCCACTGTATTTATTAGGAAAGATCTGCATAGAAGTTGATAGGCTTTTTTTCATTGAAAAAATTAGTCCCTGGAATTATGATCAATAACTAATGGTACAAAAGAAATGAAGAAGGTATTAGCTCTGTGCCTTAAAGTTTCTGTAGTTTGACCCCAAGTCAAGTGAACATTTGGTTTTTATACCCTTTTAGAACTAAATACATTGTCTTATATGTAGTAGGCCTTCAATAAATAAAATATTTGTAGTGAATAACTAAACGACACACCTTCAGTTAATGGTAGAAATTATTTTCAAATTGCTGGGAAATGCAGTTCTAAAATTTCTACATATACTTTGTTTAATCCATTAAAGTATGTACTGCTAACCTACAGCATAGCTTTTCTATTGCTTACGTTAGAAATTCCTTTTATAGTTAATAACTAGAGGCCCCCTGCATGAAATTTGTGCATGGGTGTGTGTGTCCCTCAGCCCAGCCTGCACCCTCTCCAATCTGGGACCCCTCAAGGGCAGTCGGGCATCCCCCTCACAATCCAGGACTGCTGGCTCCCAACCGCTGGCCTGCCTGCCTGCCTGTTGTTTAATTACTTGTTCAGTTAGTTCATTTGTAGATGATTTCCTTGTTAAATTTGATCATTTCATTTTCATGATAGTTTACAGAACTAGCTGTCTAGAGCAGTACTGTCCAGTAGACTTTTCTGTGATAGAAACATTCTGTCTGTGATGCCCATTAGAGACACACCTTGCCACATGTTGTCAAGGCAATTGAGAAACTGTAGGTTTAATTCTACTTAATTATAAATGACTTAAATTTTTAAAAAGTCTCATGTTGCTAGTAGCCACTATATTATACAGCACAGATATACCTACTTTATGTTCATTTAGTTTTCCAAGTTTTTCTAAGTTTATTTTCTAGGTAAGTTCTGATTTCACCAACAGTGTGAGGTAAGACTCTGAAACCTATGGTAAAAAAAAATGAGCTAATTCTAAAAATTAATTTATTAGAGTTTAGAGATGTTTACTGAATTATGTAGACAAGATCACAAAACTCATTTTTATAGAATTATAAGTTCAATGAATAATTTTCAATTATAATAAAAGTATTTTTGTTTGATTTTTTTGCATTTATGTGAAACTTTAGGTTGCTGTATTGAACATATCACAGACCGTTTCTCCTTATTTCCAAAGGCAGTTTTATTCTACGGAGAAACCTATGATCTAATGCTAATGAACTAATGCTCATTTTAAGATTGGTCCATGTAAAGTTTTTGTTCATTTTTAAACAGCTGATTTAGAAGAAAGTTTTAATGAACATGAACTGGAGCCCTCATCACCTAAAAGTAAAAAGAAAAGTCGCAAAGGAAGGCCACGAAAAACCAATTTTAAAGGGCTATCGGAAGATACCAGGTCCACATCCTCCCATGGAACAGATGAAATGGAAAGTAGTTCCTATGTAAGTAGAAAAATGCTTTATTCTTACTTTTTGTTGCACTATGAATATTTCATTTAAACTGTGTTTATAGGTAAAATTCTTCATTTGAAATGTTAACTAAGCTTGAGGTTACTAATAGCATATTTTCATGGATTTTTTAAAAAGTTTCTTTCTCTTTTCATTTGCAGAGAGATAGGTCTCCACACAGAAGCAGCCCTAGTGACACCAGGCCTAAATGTGGATTTTGTCATGTAGGGGAGGAAGAAAATGAAGCAAGAGGAAAGCTGCATATATTTAATGCCAAGAAGGCAGCTGCACATTACAAGTGTATGGTAAGCATAGTTTCTTTTATGTTTTTTTAAACCCAAGTTTTTTGAAAAGCATTTAGCTAGTAATCAAGTATGGCACTTTCCCCCCAGCATTAGTATTTTATAATTATGAATAGTACTAGAGGCCTGGTGCACAAGATTTGTGCCCTGGCGGGGGGGTGGGGGGGATCCCTCAGCCCGGCCTGCACCCTCTCGCAGTTCGGGACCCCTCAGAGGATGCCCGCCTGCCAGCCTAGGCCCACTCCCCGCCATCGCCACTGTGCTTGCTAGCCAGAAGTCAGGCTCGCTGCTCCTTAGAGTGAACCCAGCTTCTGGCTGAGCGGCACTTTCCCTGTGGGAGTGCACTGACCACCAGGGGGCAGCTCCTGCATTGAGCGTCAGCCCCCTGGTGGTCAGTGCGCATCATAGTGACTGGTCGTTCTGCTGTTTGGTCAATTTGCATATTAGGGTTTTATTACATAGGATATCCTATAGTCCCACATCTTCATAAATCAGCTTTTTAAAAATATGTAGCCTCTATAATTTAGTAGGATTTAAATCAATTCTGATAATACTTATCATATTCTAGATAATCTATAATTAACTCAAAACTGTAAAACTTTCAGCTTTATAAACTTGTTATGAAAGATATATTCAGTCTCCACTATAACCAAGTAAATGCCTCTCTTATTATACCTCATACACTGTACTGCAGCTATTTATGAACCTCTCTTCCCTAATAGACTCTTAAATTCTTTGTGGATAAGAACTATATCTTATCATTGCATCCTTAGTTATAGGTCTGAAATATAAATACACATAAATGTTTATTATTTAGGTAGATTGTGTTGAATTACTCATCCCATTTATGATTAGGTTCTAAAATATATATTATTTATACCAGAAGTTCTTAACTTGAGATGCATATTAGATTTACCTGGGGAGTTTTTTCCAAAATATGTATCTCTGGAGTAGATCCCAAACATGTCTTATTTGGGGGAAAGAAATCCTCAGGTAATACTGATCTGCATCAATGGGTGAAATTTGCCAATTGAAACTATTTCTTAAAACTTTGTCTAAATGTAACAGTTGAGATTACAGTGTGACACTGTTGAAATCTGCATTGTTTAATAAAGTATTTGATCTTGGCTCCATACTGGCAACATTAGTTTTATTTTATTCTTTTTATTTTGGGTTATATTTCAATCAGACATAATAATATATTAAAAATATTTGAATCAGTAATTGATTATTAAGGAAAAGTCCTCTTTCTCAGGACATTGAAATAATGTAATACATTCTTATTATGTTTAATCTTTTTCTAAAAAGGATTCTGAATATTAATGTTCTTTCATTTTTTTCTTCTCTAGTTATTTTCTTCTGGCACAGTCCAGCTCACAACAACATCAAGAGCAGAATTTGGAGATTTTGATATTAAAACTGTTCTGCAGGAGATTAAGCGAGGAAAGAGAATGGTCTGTGGTTTTATATTTATGCTATGCAACGTTTCTCTTCTGATGTTCTGCTTTAAATATAGAACACTTCTAAATTTATCCAGCCATCAAAAAATTTAATATAAAGTAGTTAAAGCACAGTATCTATTTGACTTATTTGTAATATAATAAAGGATGATGATGTTACTGAAACTTATTCCTTTTTCTATGTAACTTCATTACTTAAGAGAATTATAATGAGATTTATTTTTCAGGGTATTTGAGAGTCTTTTAATAAAAAATGATGTGAATGTAATGCTACTCATTAAGTTTAAAATGTTAATATTGTTTAAGTTTGCCTAAAGAAAAATTCCAAATCCCCAATAGAGCATTGAGAACCTCCCATGTTGTAATTCATTTTTTTTTTATAAAAGGAAGAGTTTTTTCAGAGCCTTCTGTTTAGTTAAAGTTCACATACATAGTATGTTTCTTAAAATGTTTATCAAAACCTTAAAGTTTTCTTTAAAATGTGCCTGAGTCTCATGTTTTTAAGTATACTGAATTACTAATAAATAGCTTTAAGTAATATCGGCATCTTTATTCATCATTCCTTTAGAGTTTATGAATATTATAAAATATCAATGGAATGCAAAATCTTTTCATTAAGAAAGCAATTACCTCTAGAAATGACTTTAATTTTTGAAATTTTTTTAATTGTGAAAATTTTCAAACATATCAAAATTAGAAAGATTAGTAACACACGTCTATCCATCACCTTGACTCATCAGTTATCAAGAATTTGCGGCACTCGTTTCATCTATGCCTTTTAATCTTGTTGCTTGAAGTATTTCAAAGCAGAGCTGAGACTTGATATCATTTCACCTCTACATATTTCAGTATGTATCTCTTAAAAGTTGGACATTTTCTTACCTAACCACAATGTCATTATTCTTTATAAATTAACAATGAGTCCTCAGTGTCATTTAATACCCAGTTTGTATTTGTATTTCCCCAGTTGTCTCAAAACTATCTTTTTAAAATTCATTTGCATTAATCAGAACCCAAAGGAGGCTCATACATTACATGTGGTTTTTATACATTCCTTCAGTGATCCAGGGCACACCCTCTTCCCTGTCTTTGTTGTTTCTGGTTTGGTTTTGTTGTATGCCATTGACTTGTTGAAGAAACTTAATTGTCTTGTAGACTATCCCACATGCTTTTATTTGTCTGTTTGCTTTTTCAAGATGCCATTTAACTTGTGCCTCTATTTGCTAGATTTTCTTTTAAAATGAAGTTAGATGTAAAGTCTTGATTAGATTCAGTTTCAGCATTTTGGGGGGTAAGAACTACTTTACAGGTGGTACTATATCATCCATATTTTATCACATCACACAACTCATAATGTCTGATCTTTGCATTCAGACAGTGAGTCTGATCCCTCTGTTTTGAAATTCCCCTTCAGTCTTTCATCTAGTGGTTTCAAACATTGATGATCTTTGTCTGAATCCATTAGGAATGACCATTTGTTTGGGGAATTACACTTTTGAAGTTTAATTCACACTTTTGAAGGTGTGAAGACTGTTGATGTTCTCTCTTTTAAATCCATTTCAGTTTATTTATACTTCTGTTACACTTTTAAAAATGAAACTTCTTTAAAACAATGTATAGACTAAAAAAGGGGGGAATCATTTCATCATATCATACAGAGCAATGTTGTTGTGTCATATAGCTAAAGTCCAAATAGGGATAATAATTCAGTTCTTTTGACCAACTTATTTACCTCTGCACTATTGAATGTTAAGGCAAGCAATAACCTAGCATTTCCCCAAGTGTGCTCCAAAGGAAATTAGCCCATCAAGATGCTCCCCCAGCCCTCCAAAAATAAGAGTATCTGGAGTTCAGTAAACTTGGGAACTGTTTACTGTACCCTCCTTCCTGGAGAAAACATTGTGAGAAGTCCTTCCATGGAACAATCTGTTTAAAACTAACATTTCTCAAATTTCTTTGACTATGACATCCTTTTGTCATTAGTCACCTTTTAACCTCTAACATTCTTAAGGCAAAGCTGATCTAGGCCAGATCGAGGTCTTAAAAATATTTCAGCTCCTTCAGTGTCCCTCTGCCCTTTTGCCTACTTGGTAGCAATCCCTCTCTGGGGGAATTGCTTCCCTATCTTCTCATTCCATAATAGGAAAGGAACTGATTTCAGGGAAGAAAAGAAGCCGACCACTAAAATATAGAATACCATTCTTTTTGTGTTTGGCAGTATTAAGAAGTGTCTAATTTATGTCTATATGTCATATCTCTAACAGGGGATGACTTAATATTAGAAAGTCTATCAAAGTATGGTTGAAATTGCTGCATTATTTGATATATTGCTATATAAGTTCAGTGCATTACTTTTTAATAGAATATTGGCTGTTTTCTTTGTAAGCTGGAATGTTTGGCTGAAATATGGCTAAAATAGAAAAAAATGAGATTGCATAGAGTTTGAAATACTGCTTATGATTATTCTTTCTCTTCCCTTAAACAGAAATGTACACTTTGCAGTCAGCCCGGTGCTACTATTGGATGTGAAATAAAAGCCTGTGTTAAGACTTACCATTACCACTGTGGAGTACAAGACAAAGCTAAATACATTGAAAATATGTCACGAGGAATTTACAAGTAAGAGAACAATTGTCCATTTTCCATTGTCAGTAAGTAACTGCCCTTCAATAGATGGCATTAGTTTACTTAATCACTATTTTTAGGTGGTATTTAGCAAAGTATAGAATACTGAGGACTCTGTATAAGAAATGAGTACTGCAAATAGCATTTTCCTCTAACTACACATCCCTGAATTAGCATTCATTCAACTTGTATTTATTATGCTTACTATGTGCCAGGCATTGTACCAGGGTTTGAGCATACAATAATGATCAAAACAGACATGGATTGTGCCTTCATGAAGCTTACAGTCTAGTGAGAGAGACATATTAATTCATTGGCCACATAGCTGAGTACACAATTACAAACTACATAAGTACTATAAAGGATACATTACCAAGCCCTGTGAGAACACATAATAAGGAGAACCTAACCTAGTCCATAGTGGGAGAGTGTTTAGGAATTTCCTTAAGGACATAGTGCTTGAACTGAGATATGAAGGGTGAAAATGAATGTGGGGGTGTTGGGAAAGTGTTGTAGGCAGAAGCAAGAGTACAAATGGGGAGATGAGTTAGGAGGCTACTGCTGAGGGTCCAGGTGACAATTGTTGGGAGCTTAGAATAGGATAGGGTTATGAAGATACAAGTCAAAAGATACTCATAGAAGAATGATGAAAGAGTAAACTTCAACGGTTTGAGATTATAAGCTACCCTCTTTTTTATGGGTCTTCCATGTGCTGCATTGGGCTAGTGTTATCAATGTGCATCTATAATGGTTCCATGTATTTAATTGAATGGAGAATAAGTTGGTAGGGATCCCTGAATTTTTTATTTGCCTGTGCAAATTATAAAGCACTTCCTTACTCTCACATTCTCAGTATGCAATGAACCAGTGACTCAGGGTTTACTCTTTTGTGTACAAAACAATTTACATAAACAATCACCATGTCATTTGAGTTTCTGCATGAGGTGCTAATGCTGTATTATAAAATTTGCAAAACCTTCTTTAATAATAAAGGCGCAGATGATTTTCAAGTGAGTTTTATAAAGCCTTTAAGGAACAAATAATTCCAGTGTTATTGAAAGGTCCACCCAGCACAAAGCGAAAGATGGAAAACCTCTTGGTTCATTTTGTGAAACTTGCATAATTGTGGCACCAAAATTGACAAAAAATAACATTTAAAACAAAACAAAAACAATAGACCATTTTATAAATATATATATACCAAAATCCTAAATAAAATATTATAAAATCAAGTGCTATTTTCTAACAATTTAAAGACTGTTCAAAATTAGGCAGTATATTAATGTGGTCCATTATAATTAATAAAAAATAATCCTATCACCTCCTGGTGGATAGTGAAAGAACATTTGATACCATTTAATATCCATGAATTTTAAACTTAACAAGAGTGCTCTTGATAAGCTAGGAGTCTTAATAGAATGCTTATGAGAAAAAAACAGCAAATAGCTTATTTAGTGTTAAAGGGACAGTATTCCTTATTCATGGCTGAGCCTCAGAATCACCTGGGGGTGGATAGGGCCTTCTTTAGAAATGTTCTTTGCCTGGACCCCACCCTCAGAGATTTAAATTCAGTAGGCAGAGACCCAAACTATGTATTTTTGTGACTCCTCAGGTGATTCTCATGTTCATCTCTAATTGAAAACCACTATACTAACATACTTCCATTCAAATCAGGAACAAGACAAGGTGCCAACTACCAACATTGTTTTTAGTGTTCTTCTGGAGTGTTAAACCAGTGTAACAAGAATAGGAAGAAAAATGTATAATAAATATTGTGAAGGGAAAAAGCTGTTGATGTTTTTGATACCATTGTCTACCAAGAATATCCAAAGGAATCAACTCTGAATTTATTAAACTTAATTGCTCAGTAAGGTTAATGCATATGAGGTGAATTTTTAAAAAACAATTGCAATAAAAACTAGTTAGAAATGTAAAAGAAATAGCCATGGGTTGGTTATAAGCATGTGAAAAACTGTTCAACCTTATTAGTAATTAAGGGAATGCAAATTAAGACAAGATCTTAGCACATTTTGCCTATCAGATGGGCAAAGATTAGTAGGATTCATATTAGCTACTGTTAGCTAGGCTCTAGAGACACAGGCATTCTCAAGGGATGTTCAGGTAGAATGTAAATTGGTACAACTTTTTAGGAGAGCAGTTTATTATTGGAGACCAAACCTTGAAATAATGCATTTGCTGCTAGTCTATTTGTAGGGATTTATCTCAGGGAAGTGAGCAGATAATATAGTACAAAGATATATGTGCAAGAGTGTCATTGTATTATTGTTAATGATTGCTGCCATATCCACTAGGGCTGTGGTCGGCAAACTGCGGCTCGTGAGCGAAATTTCAATTGTTGTACTGTTGATATTTGGCTTTGTTGACTAATGAGTTTGCCGACCACTGCACTAGGGCATTTTAGAATCAACTATACTAAGGACTGACCAGGTTACCATAGGTGGCATCAGTCTACTCAAGACAGGAACTGTAGCATGCCAGGAGGGTAACATCAAATATTCCACTTCCGTGGGAGTCCTTGCAGTAGTCAGAATAGCAGTATAGCTCAGGACTAATAAGACCTGATCCACATGGAATGGGCATGGGATCCACCACCTTGGCTTAAAAGCCTCATACCCCATCATAGCCAGTGCCTCTTATAAGTTATATAGGGATAGGTAATTTTCAGGTTATATCATAAAGAGGACCAAAGATGGCTTCTTATCAGAATATTTATAATTCTCCCAATGAAGATAGAGTCTACCAATTTGAGGGTAACATAGCTTAGTGAAATAGTTGACTCCATGTATAGAGTTGTAAAGAGGTATTTCTGTGATAGAGTAAGGGGGGGGGGATAAGTTGTACATGTGTACAATATATGTGTATATTTTCATTTACATAGAAAAATGTTCTGTTTATTTAGTAAACAGTTGTTACCTCTCATTCATTGCAGAGGGATGGAGGTGAAGAGGCAATTTTATAGTCTCTTTTATACTGTAGTATTTGGATAGTTTTATGAGTAATACATCATTATTTTAAGTAGCCATTAATATTTTAAAATAACAGACCCATTTTAAACGTCTAAAATTTGATATATGGAGAATTTGTATATTTTAATTTTATTTAGGTATTTTTTATTATAAGAGTTACCTGTTTTTATTTTGGAAAAAAATAGATAAGGAAAAACACTTAATGTCAATTTTAATTCTGTCACTAGAAATAACAATTTTAAATCTTGGAATACTTTCTTCAGACATTTGTGTGATCATAAATGTGTGCATATTTATAAAAACAAGATTTTATTATACTGTTTTATAATCTGTTTTCCACTTACTATCCCCAAGACATTTTTTCTTTGACATTAGTTTGACATCACCATTTTAATGGTTGCATGATATTCCATTGAATGGGTATATCATATTGTTTAATCAACTCCTTTCTTAGACATTTAGGTAGTTTTTACTTTTTAACTATTAGAAAACCATGTTGCAGTGACCATCTCTAAACAAAAATATTTGCACTGGGATCCATGATGATTTGAATGGCTCTTTTTATTTTTTTTTACATTTAAATTTGTTTCTAAACTCTACTTATGTGGATTCCAGATTATTTTATCATAGAGACCATTGAGTTCAAATGATAGTCCGTAT